TTCGGCGTGATGCGGGGCGGAGTTGGGAGGAGGGGGACCGGGGCTAGCAGCCTGGCCGCGCTCGCGCCTGCAAGGGACGTTCTTGGCGCTCTCCGGGACGACCTGTTTTTAATGCGTTTTGAAGTATCCCGGCGGTATTCTTGAAGCCGTTTCTGGGGTTACTGACTTCTCCCCCACCCCCACCCCCAGTCCTGTCTGGAGTGCCCATTTAGGGTGTTGCTTTTCCAAGTCTTTTGCACCTCCGAGCCCCTTTCCACGCCGTTGCCCGCGTTGGAAACGCCGCGACCTGCTCATTGGGCCATTTCCTGTCGCCCGCTCCGGGGGGCGCGGGGGGACCCCCAGCCTTCGGCATAAAATTCAAACGCCCAAAGCTGCAACTGAGGGGATTGATTCCCACCGCGGTAAAGCAGCTTCCCCTGCCCGGTGGCCCCCTTTCCGTGTCGGAAGGAGGCCTGACGGTGCCGTGGGTTCAGCCTTGGGCTGCTAACCGCAAGGCCCTGCGTTCCAATCTACCGGCTCCCAAAAGGTAACCCCTAGGGGACAGGTCCACTCCCGACCCCCCAGATTCGCTGTGATTCGAATCGCCTGGGTGGATCAGGCCTCTCCAGGAGGCCCTTCCCGTGCCCAGCCTTCAGACTGGGGATGGAGGGGGAGTCACCGTGCTTTTCTCTCGATGAGCCCAGCTAGGTGCCTGCCCCCTGGACACACACAGCCCTGCTGCTGAGAACACATTGCCACTGTCCCCATCAGGCTCGCATGACGTGAATGAGGGCACCCTGGTGGCACAGTGGAGTAAGCGTTGGGTAGCTGACCCCCAAGGTGGGCCGTTTGAAGCCCACCAGGCACTCTGTAGAATAAATTAAAGGTGGCCAGCTCTGTGAAGTTTCAAGCAGCCATGCAGGGACTGTGGCCACTGCAAGGACAACCAGGCCAGGTCTCATTGGGGTTGGGGCACAGTGCTCTTTCCCCCCCACCCCCAGCTCCTCTTGCCACTTGCAGCCCTCCCAGCAGCTTCCCCTGCAGCCCCCTCCCTGCATCTAGCATACATTTTGCCAAATCCAAGCTTTCGGTGCTAAACTCCCTTTCCCCAGGAATTGCTTCAGGAGCTTTGGGGCCCGTTGAACTCTGAAAGAGGCAGACTCAGGAAGAAGAGCTCACCCGTAGTCTCACTCGCTGCAGACCCCTTTTCCTGCCAAGATGTCAATCGGTGTGCCGATTAAAGTCCTGCACGAGGCCGAGGGCCACATTGTGACATGTGAGACGAACACGGGAGAGGTGTACCGGGGGAAGCTCATCGAGGCCGAGGACAACATGAACTGCCAGGTAGCCTGCTTTGTGGGGGCGGGGGGCCTGCAGGGAGGACAGAACCCCAAAGTCTGTCTTTGAACATCCCTTATGGGGCGTCTGGTGGGCGGTGCTGGGGCCATGGGCCAGAGCAAGAGAGAAGTGTGGTCCTGCTGCTGCTGCTGCTGCTGCTGCAGAAATGCCACTGGACGTTTGGAATATTTAACCTGCACCTTCGTTGTCTGTCTCTCCGCCCACCCCCCCCACACACACCACGGAGCTTCCAAGAACTCACAGGAAAATCCTCTTTGAAAGAAAATCTCTTTGAAAGATGCCATTTTCCGTGAGCTTTTGGAAGTCCCCTCGGATTTTGAGGGGCTTGTTTCAGATCAATGGTACTATTCCCTCTGGGTTCAGGGCCGTATCTTTTTGCCGACACTTCTGTATAACACAGTGCATCTCACTGCACCTCCTACTTGCTGTCTTTGGGGTCTCCTTTGATGTATTGTACTTACCCTGTCAGGTGCCATTGGCCCTCCACAGAGCAGGGAGATCGAGGTTACAAGGTCTGTGGCTGTTCATCCGGAGCCCTTCCTTTCCCCAGGGATGCCTGAGTCCCTTCACAGAGCCCGAGGGGCGGGGTACAGGCTTGTATGAGAGTATGAGAGCACTGGGGGAAAGGACTGGAGAGAGGAGTGTGCCTGGGAGCTTTGGCTGCAGCGTGGGTCTAGCCTTGGTGGAAGGAGAGCGGGAAGAAAGACCTCGGGCTACAGTGTGTGCCTGAGGAGGAGTTTGCACGGACAGACCACCGGGCCTCCGCTGGCAGTAATCAGGTGAATGCTGAGGCAGGTCCCGCAGTGGAGCACCTTGCACCCCCCACACCTCAGTGTGTAGAGTGAGCTCTCGTCAGGACCCTAGGAGCCATGTGTTGACACTCCCCTTGGGAGTGTTTGAGGTGCTGTCTTCCGGGTGCCGTTGCTGAAGTTTGGAGAGGTGAACGACTCACCTCAGTCATGCTGAAGTGCCAGCATCTTGGCTGCCCACCTGTTGCTCTGGGGGTCATGTCTCTAAAGCATGGCACAGCTTCTTATTGGCAGGTCCCTGGTTTGGGGGATGCAGGCACCCTTGCCTACAGGTGTATCTCTTCTGTCTCTGAAAGTCCGAGGTGCCTAGCCTCACTCGGGACACGGAGGGGCAACTGACTTCCTACTCAGGCATTTGCTCTCATGAGGAAGGGTTTTAGGGATCCTCGTCTGTTTGAGGTGCTTTTATTTGGTGACTGCATGCAGGCTCAGGCCCCTGGCACTTGGTTTGAATATGAATTAAGACTCGGGGTGTTGGGTCCTTTCAGTGCCCACTGCTGGCCAGGCCCTGGGCAGCCCCCTCCTCAGGAGGAGGCAGCACAAAGCAGCTAGAGGTTAGCAAGTGAGGTTTTTAATCCCTTCACAGAGTCAGGCTCTGGGATCAGAGGACAAGGTGGACTCCTTGTGTGCACTTTGGCAGGTTAGCACCCTTGTCCTACAAATCGGGGGTGTGGCGTGAGAGGGTTCAATGCTGTGAGGCGGGCTGCTAACCCAGCGCAAGGTCAGTAAGTCAAAGGCACCAGCTGTGCTACTGCCAACACAGTGACAGTCTGGAAAACACCGGGCCGGCTCTACCCTGCCCTCTGGGCTCACTGTGCGTCGTCGGGCACGGACGGTGGCAGTGTTTCATTGTTGGAGTCTGTGTCAGTCTGGGTAAACTAGGGAG